TCCGTTGTCTTTGCTTGGCTTGGTTTCCGCGGCATTTCCGGGATGGGCTTGTTATTTTATGGCCTATCGTCTGCAAGCCGCCCTGGAACATATACGTCTGATCGTTGGCCAATGTTGTTTTTCCTGCGAAATTTCAAACAACAGCTCTCCGCTTGCCAATTATGTCTCGGATGCGACTTTAAACATCCCGCTGGAAGGAAGCCTGACCAATGTTCGCAGCACTCTCGACTTATCAACTCGGTACCGCGTTCTACTTGCATCATTTCTCAATAGGACACGACTGGAAACTTGTAACCAGACCCCTTACTGAAGAGAACTGGGGCAAAACAAGAGCAAATGCAACCGTGTATGGATCTGGAACGGGACCTATTGGCTAATACCGAGAGCCACTGCCGACATATTTGGCGAGGGTTCTTTATGGTTACGCTTCTAAGCACGCCACACCAAGCCTGTACTTTCCGCGATAAGATACTATTCGGTTTCCTTCCCCCTCAGCACAAATTCTCTAATATTTTTTTTTTTTGCTTTTACCTTGTTTGTCTTGGCAGCTCTTTTCCGTTATTCTGTAGTTTTGCTTTTCTTGTGGCCTTTGCCAGCTCCTGGGGATGATACTGGGGAGGGGTCGATGACGGTTCGCCATGCAGCGGTGGCGCTGGCAGGGGAAGTCGGTGGATGGACGGCAGGTGTTACACTCGGCGGTGTTGGCTTGAGAGCTTGAGAGGAAGTGGATGGTCGACAGGGAAACAAGGGACTTTTGAATGTGACTTTCGGTACAGAAGTTGGGGATATAAAACGGGGCGGCTTCCGGGGTGGTTTTCTTTATTTCCTAGCTTTATTTCCTTGGACCAGCCTAATTACTGGGGAGAGAGGCGAGGTGAAGAGAGATGCTTTAAGTCGATGTGTTCCCTTTTCACGAATGATCGTTGATAGCTTCCGCATTTGTGGTCAGCAGACATGACATTGGAGCTGGGCAGCCTATCAGACAGGTGGATTCAACGATGGGTGCATGGGTGCGTTCCCTTCTACCTTGCCGGTTGATCGTCCATGTGTCTAGGGGTCCTTGTCCGGCTCTGGTGGCTTCAAGGCTTTCATGGAAAGCAAGAGATGATTATTCATGGCTTTGAGACAATGATACATAACGCCCCTCATTTACAATATCCTTTTGGTGACGATGCCTGGAATATAATTGCACGTGAAAGTAAAACTTTTGTACGGACTATGTCGCCGGCTTACAGAGCGCCCTTAACTAGGCAAAATATCCATCGGCCGGATAAAGAATTATACTATACTACACATGACCACCGACATCCCCTCCTCAGCACTGGAACACCCATCCCTAGCCCATCAGGCACACAATTCCACCACTCAATCCACTCCGTCCTAGGAATCACATACTCCCTCCTGCAAACCGTGCATTGCCTCCCGCCCTCATCCCCAGCCTTGACAGTCTCGCGCATGAGCCGCTGCGGGATACTATCGGAGGGAAGAAGGGAAGGGAGGGTGGGGAACGAGGGGTCTGCACCGTATGCGCGGAGAAGGGTGAGAAGGGCTAGGGACATGAGGGGGGGTGGGCCGGTGGTTACCCCTGGAGGAGGGGGAGGTTGATTGGGGGCAGTGCGGGTAGAGAGGTGGGTTACTGTTGGAGGAGTTAAGGAGGGAGGGGGAGGGGAGGATGCGTGTGGGGTTAGGGTAGGCAGGAGGTAGGAAGGGGGGGTCGAAGCAAGGGGGGTAGGCTGCCAAGGCCGTCGTGAGCTGGCTCGATAGTCGTGTAGCCTCCGGGACACTCCCTCATCATCCGCACCACCGCCCTCCCGCGCCACCCCCCGCCTACTAAACCCTACGTGTCCGGCCCGCTCTAAAAACGGATTCGGCCAAACCCTCAGCACCTCCAGCTTCCCCTCTCTCACGAGTCTCACAACTCCCCACGGCAACCACCTCAGCCTGTTCCCGGCGACGTTCAGTTCGACGAGGTTCTGAAGCCGTGAGATCGCGTCGGGGAGGGTGGTGAGTTTGTTGTTGCGGAGTGAGAGGACGGATAGGTTTGTTAGTGTGAGGAGGGGGGGAGGGAGGACGCGGAGGGCGTTGTGGGAGAGGAAGAGGTGTAGGTTGGGCGTCAGGGGGTGGTAGGTTGTTGGTGGGGTAGGTGGGTTTTTGGTTAGGAGGGCTAAGGGGTGGAGAATGGTGGCGGGGAGATGTGGGAGGAGTAGGTCGCTGTGGGTGGGTGTGTGGTTAGTGTGGTGGGTTTTGGGTGGGTTTTCGGCGTGGGGATACGTACGAGAGATTAACATGCTCGTTTCCTTCCTCGACACAACGCTGCACGATCTTCTCTGCTTCTGCCAATGGTCCGTCTGGAATTTCGACCGGGGCTACCCATGGCTTTCCAGTGGAATCCACAAGTACGCCTTCATCATTGGTATTCCTCCCTCCAACAATATCGTTCCTCCCATCCTTCTCCCCTCCATCCACCACCACCCCTTCTTCATCCTCATCCTCATCCTCCCCGCCTTCCGTCCCCTCACTCCCCATCCAAACCCCTGAATCCACAACTCTTCTCAACTTCCGTTTGCCCCTAATTCCCCTCTCCCCACCACTCCCACCACTCCTATCCCACCATGCGCCCAGAAACACTCTTTTCTTCCGCCTGCTCTCACCAGTGTAGTTCTCTGCACCAGAAAAGAGGTGGTCATCGCTCGAGAAGAGGGCCGGATCACTGGATGTGCATGGAGAGGAGGTTGTGTGCTTGTAGGAGCGTTTTTTGTGGCGGATGAAGGTACTGGATGGTGTGCGTGGTGGTAAGGGAGGGAGAGTGAGTTCGGCGGGTTCAGTGGACATCTTTTTTTCTTCTTTGTATTTTAGGTGTTTTTTTATTGAATTCGAGATTGGATTGGCCGATTGATGGTTAGCAGTTGGTGGTTAGGGAGGCATATGATGGATTTATTAGACGCGTTTTTGGTTAAAGCGATGACGCGCCGGGTAAACAGACGGGCTATCATTTTTCCGATTTATCCGATCCTCAATCCGTTTGATGGAACGAATTCAATGTTCCTCCACAGCTTCCTGTAGATAGTCGGGATGCGGGCAAATAGTTTGGACACTGAGTCCTCTTGACCCCCTTTAAGATATTTCTCGTCCTTCTCATCCGATATCGTCAGTTTTAGTTTCCCGCCGGCCGGTAAGCTATTAAGGATCTCCCTCATGAGCAGTGAGCATAAGTTCCCCAACACAGAATCCCCTAATATAGGACAAATTGCCATCTTTTCCCTATTTCTCGTAAGGGTTTGAGGTTGGCTAGTACTGCGGTTGCGGGCTGATGAAGTGCCTCTTTACCGTTATATGTGGTACCCCTACTTTGATGGGTTACATTGTAGGTCAATAAAAGGCTTCTAGTAGCCGAGCATGGTGGGATTTTGCAAAGGGGCATATGTGAAATGCATCTGGCATCGATACGTCTCTGATGGGTGGGCATTGAGCTTCTTGATGGGGGATAATTAGGCCGAATGGGTCACCTTGATGATCGTCAAAACCAACTCATCCCATAACTGTTACAATAGAGCATCGCAGGCGAGGAACCGGTCTTTAGTGACTCGGGAGAAAACAGGAAAGAAAAATACAAGTACCCTCCCTCCGACGGTGCGAGTCAGGGATAGGTTTCCTAGATGAGTACATCCACGTTCCTCACATCGCGAGAACCAAATCACAAATGTGCGATGCTCATGTCGGCTGCTCATATCGCCTTTCCCATATGCATATATCCACAGCCGAGAGCCATGCTCGATTCATGTACTGCCGAGCAGGGGAGGGAGACAAGAAGCGGTTCAAATAATGGTAAGGATATCCGGAACGCCCTTTGTTGAAGAAATAGTCTTTAGTTTTGTGTAAGAAAAGGCCAGAGGGGTTCCATCTTCTATCCGTAGGTGTTTTGTGATGGACATTGGTCGAGAGAACTAGTTCTCACTGAGTAGCACTTCCATCCATCGTTTCGTTCCATTTCCGTTCCACCGATACATCAAAACAGGTCCTCCCGAAGCTATGCCCCTTCTTCTCCCACAACTATAAAATTCCACATCTATTTTCTTCGGAAAGAGCAGCCCTCAGTCAGTCTCGCCTTTCCACCGGTAGGTTGACATAGAACGGTAGAGCATCCAGCACAGATGACAACTGTTTGTGCGTGCGAGAAGACAGTGGTGATTGTGAAGCAGCCGGGGCACTTGACATCCATGAAGAAGGATCGAGGAGCAGGCACGAGGGTCTATTGTAGTAAAGAGGATTAGTCAGGGTAAGCATGACTCGCCCCGCATAACATAGCAAAGGGGGCATGCTAGGAATATACCTTAAGTTTGTGCTTGCGCGCCTCAGCAGCAGGAGTTGGGTTGAGGAGATCAACTGCGAGAACCTGAGGGTTGTGTCATTCGTTAGCATTTTTGGCGTCCACTTTACAAGACTGCTCCCAAGTCTGAATGTCATATTAGAGCGGGAGCCTCATCCCCCGATATAATAATGAAATAGTGGATAGCTGTGAAGTCCCCGCATCTTGTCTATCCTGTGCATAGGCTGCTGCTAAAATAGGTGTGTAAAAGAGGTCCTCACCATCTTGAAGCACAGAGATGAATTTGATCGAGTTATTGACTCAGCTGATATAAGGTTGACTGGGTGAAAGACGTTCGACCTGAAGAGAGCGAATTCGAGTTGGAGTTTGGTGGCGAGCAGTGGTCGGGTCGTGTGAGTCGTGAGGCGAATCGTCAAACGAACATTGAGCGGACTTAGGGCTAGACCTAATGAACAGTCCACAACACTACACAGAATCTCAATCGGGATTCACTAAGAAATTAAATAGCTAGTAGGTAAATGTATATACCAGCCTGGGGTTCTTGATTGTGAACAACGGATCCTTTTGGGTCATAGTGTGGCCCTACTTAAAAGTCACGAGCATGTTGAGGCTCACTAGATTGGACCCCCAGACCTGCATAAATGAGATTTAGCGAGGCTTCTCTCAGACATAATCCGTAGTGGTGTAACGGCTAGCATACTGAGCTTTCAGCAGCAAACTACCTCAGAGATCCGGGTTCGATTCCCGGCTATGGAACTCATTTTTTTATTGTTTTTATCATTTTAATTATTTTTTTTATACACGTATATAATATATACTATATATATTTTTAGCCTTGTCAATACCCCTCAACATCAAGATCCTTTATCGCGGGCGCGAGAAATAATACGTAGCGTAAGAGCTAACTGACCGTTTTGTTGTTCCAGAAGGTTAGAAGATTACTTGAAGGTTGGCGGAATTTCGCTTTTTCTTGGATTCTCCCAATACCTAGAGCGACGCTTCTCTCAACCTCACAACTTCCCTCTGCTCCAACTAGCCCGCCTCCTTATCCTTTCCTTCTTTACCAACATCCACGCAACCTGTCCCAACGATGGCATCTGCTCCGCATACTCCCTTGCCTTCTCCGAGCTCGCCTGCCTCTGTGCCAACCTCGCTGCGATACCCTGCATGATAACCACATTCCGAAGACAAGCGAACGCGTCACCCCAGCCTATATCCGCGCGAGGGTCCCAGCCCGCATGTTCGGCATACCATCGGATGGTCTGGTCTCGGGGCGGGAGGCCGGGGTGGAAGGTGTTGGTAAAGGAGGGGTGTTCGGGGCGTATGGGGTGTTTGGCGTTAATGTAGGGGGTTTGGAGGTTAGAGAGGTCAGAGAGGGGGTGTCCGATTGTGGACATTTCCCAGCTTAGTGGTTGTTAGTTGTGTGTGTATGGAGAGGACGCGGGTAGGCTTACTCTAGGACCCCAATGACTCTCGGTTCCGTCTTATGATATACCACATTATCAATTTTATAGTCCCCATGTATAATAGTGCCTCTGTCTTGAGGTTGTATTCTTGGTTCCTTAAAAAACTCCATCATCTCATCGAACTTGATAATCTTCCCTACCGGGACCCCCGTTTCGACATCTACTGTTTTTGCTTGACTTTCTGATACCGTCTGAAGTGTTGCAATTTGGCGGTCATAGAAGCCAGAGGGTCTACCGTAGTTTTCAAGCTCGACATGTTTAGGGTCGACGCGGTGTAATTTGGCAAGAGTTCGAACGGCGTCATGCCACCTACAAGCGGTCAATTTATATAACGGCATAGCATGGTAAGCAATGCGCTTACATCTCTGTTCGTTCTGCGGGACTAACACCAGGGATAGCTGGGTCTTCGAAGATTCTGCCATCTAGAAAGCTCATAATCTGAAAATTAGCAAAATGCAATAGTGGAAAGTTTTACCTGGGGACACACATAGAACGGCGTTCCAATAACGCTATCATCGGTGCATAAGCAATACGCCTTCGGGACCGGCACATCCGTCTTTTCTAGCGCATGTATGATCCGGTATTCTCGCTCGACTTTATGAGCTGTCTTCGACAAGAGGATTCCAGGCGGCTTTTTTCGCAATACAAACTTCTTGCCAGAGCTGTCCGTGAGTTGGTACGTTGGGTTGGACTGGCCAAAACCAAACTATAGTGATTCGTTTAGCTAGATTAAGGTATTCCATTCGAGAGCATATGTGACCCGCACCTGTTTAACATCAATTGGGGTTTGGATCTCGGGCACATTTTTCTGAACATAAGCCTCTAAGAGGGTCACATCAATAGGCTGTCTGACTGCGCCCGCCATGACTGAGGATGCATTAGCGGGGACAACAAGTCTGGTCGAGAAGGAGAGGCTCTTGTTGTTATGTGGGGTTGGGCCGAGGCATCATCGTGCATATTCGGAAATAGAGCGACGCCAGGGACAAATTGCTGACAACAATTGAATTTAGCAGACAAGAAAACTGCGTCAATGCAACTCGCCTGAGGCCATGAATTTGCTTTTAGTAGAGATTGCTTGCTATCAATCCTTGTATTCACGGGAGAGGTTGGTCTTTTGCCGTTCCGGTTCGGCGCTCCGCCGCCAAGCCAGTCCCAGCCACCATCTCAGTCGCGTCGCGTGTCCCAATATTGAGAAAAAGAAAGGAAAAAAAAAGAGGCGTCAAGATAACCCATGCGAAGCTTTCTTTTTCCCCAAAATTATTTGGTTCCAAGTCTTTCTCAGGTCACCGCTCTAACTGTTTCACTGTCCTATCTGAGTGCCGTTACTTCTTGATATTGTTCTTATTCTCGGCTCTGTTAATACGCGTACACGATTGATTGTTTGCGCATCTACAATCCCTTTCCTATTGTGTGTGCTGCAACATCCCGAAAGAGTGTTGCACTTTCCTAGCTGGAAACACGATGTCGACTTCTCCGCCGCGACCTCTACGCTCTGCAGAGTCCTACTCGACGCTTGCACCACCATCGCCACGCATCAGCCGCACCATACGTCGTCTTCAATCCGCGCACACTCTCTCCTCCAATCCACCACATTCCGACGCGCCTCCAGTGCCTCCCTTCCAGCGGTGGCAGCCGCAGAACCGTGTGACTTCTTCTACGCACAAAGAGCCGCCGCCGCCTGCACCGTCACATGCCAATCCGACTTTGGCTGCCCAAATTAACACTCGCTCTCGTTCAAATAGTGACGCTCCAGTCGCCAGTGTCTCGACTGTTGGTCCTTTGTCGAAAAGAAACGCGATGGCAAAGAGGGTGGTCGCCCCTGCATTAGCGGGTAAGAATACGACTTTGGAAGCAATGTTACGGGAAGGGCCGCCGACAGGAGATATCGTGGGTGGACTACGGGAACTACGATTTTTGGTTCTGACGGACGGAGTGGCAAGTGATGGTGATGGCATGGTGCGATTTTTCCTCAAACACAAGGCTTTCCTGCGTAGACACAGGGGACTTGCTTGCCGTAGTCATGCTAACGTTAAAGATTATTCTATTTAGTCTTCTCTGAGAATCTACATCTGGCTCATCCTCCTCTCCGCACCGCCTCTCGAAACAGACGCCTACCTAACCTTAGTTCATCGAGGCCCTTCGCCAGCATATTCGAAAATCCGTAACGATACATTCCGCACTCTCGCCACCGATCCCCTCTTCCGTCGTCGAGTCAGTGAGGCCAGCCTGATCCGTCTCCTTAACGCCGTGGCATGGAAACTTCATGACGCAAAGGAAGAACGGAACAGTACCACCGGTTCCCCCCCCAGAATTAGAGCCACCAACACCGCCACTGCTGATGGGAGCCCTGAGCTTCATACATCAGTATCCCCTGTCGCAAAGGGCAGGCTCGGGGGAGGCAGAACGTCTACAGTAACGACTGAAGGCTCAGAGGCAGGTGGTACAGAGCCCGGGACCTACGTGCAGGGGATGAATGTTCTGGCGGCACCATTCCTCTATGCTGCGCGCAGCGAAGCGGAGGCATTCGTTGCATTCCATCGCTTCCTGACGCGGGAATGCCCAGGCTATGTTCGGGGCGCAATGGATGGCGTTCACCGGGGTTTGTCTGTACGTAACCGTCAGCCAAACTATCCATAACATCTCCTTTTCTCCTCTATAAAACCACCAAAGAACTAACGCCCACTGCAGCTCGTCGACAAATGCCTCACCCTCTGCGATCCAAAACTCTCAGCATACCTTCTCTCAAAAGGCATGCACGCCGAACTCTACGCCTTCCCCTCCGTCCTCACGCTCTGCGCCTGTACTCCTCCTCTCCCCGAAGTCCTTCACCTCTGGGACTTCCTCTTCGCGTACGGTGCCCACTTGAACGTCCTCTGTATAGTAGCGCAGCTATGTTTGGCGAGGGACGCAATCATGGAGAGCCCGAGGTATGTCATGACCCCCTGACGGAGAGAGCTCTCTCATGTCGACCCCCTCTCCTAACCACGCTAACTAAAGGCAGCCCAATGAAAATCCTCCGTTCCTTCCCCCCCCTACAAGCCGCAAAAGTAAAAGGCCTCGCTATCGCCCTCCTCCGAAAAATCCCAGAAAGCGTCTACGAAGAACTAGTCATGCACGCCCGATAAAACTACAACTCTCCATCCTCGTCTCCGGAAAAATCCCTTTCTCCTGTACCATCCCCTTTCACATATATCCTTTTAATCAGTCGCCCATTGCATCGGTTGGCTAGGCTAGGCGTTCTATGCATATCAACAAGGAGGGAGAGAGAAGGAAATGCTTGCCTAACGATGGTGATGATGATGATGATGATCATGTTTAACGACGAGATGTTCCACCCGTCCATGATGATGAAAGGGGGGATAAAAGCTATGATTTAGGGTTAGATAGAATTAATAATAACCACGAATAAGATTCTACAATTTCCATTATACCCCGCTTTGCAGCACCCCTAAACAACCCTACGTGAGGGGGGCTTCAGGGTGATATCAAAATTACAACCACCCACCAAAACATCACTGCCAACGTGCCTCGGCAAATTTTCTTTAATACGACAATAAACAAAACTAATATAACCATTTCTCTCTACTAAAGGAGCGGAGGCTATATCTATAAGCCTGGCTGTTTGAATTCGTTTATATCAGAAATTGAGCAGCGACGTGTAATTTCTGACATTATAGCCAGAAGAATATGGGCGTTCATCTCGGGCTTAACTAATTCGTAATAGTCTGGATCGAATTTAAGAGAGAGAGAGGGGGGTATAAAACATATTTCAATAGGGTGTAGAAAGGGAGAGGGGTCCCAAGATCCACCCTGTCCCGGCTACAAAAAAAGAGAGGCGGAGCCATCCTTTCGGAAGTCTGGCTCAAAATACCCTATCCAAAACTTCGTACATGGGGCCAGTGGGCGATGCAGTCCATGAGAGACAAATTAGGTCCTCCACCTCCCCCAAGAGCTCCATCTCCTCCCCTTAAAGTTCGAGTCATTTATATCCCCTTCACCCTGGTAATATAGAGCCGGTACGAGCAACCGATACGGCGACGTGATACCTGCCGGATCCTTTTGGCTGACTTCGCAATTCAATATGACATCCAACCCATCATCTAGACTGATAGTTGCGCCCTTCACAGCACCACGGGCCTTTGTCAAGGTGCGCTTCAAGCCACCATTTGGACGATCTGTACCTTGAACGACAGCCGGTGTATCGGCACTAGGGCTGGTGGGATGCTGCCGGGGAAAGTACCCGCCACTTCCGGTAGACGGCCGAATGGGAATAGCATCGGCGCTTTCGGT